AAGAAGTGGTTCAAATTTTATAATGCTGTCCTCATCTTTGAAAAAACTCCATCACCTTCATCCTAAAGAATGTTGAATCTCTTCCTCAAATCTTCCCACATACACTTATTTCCCAGAAAATGTAGTTGGCTTTAAAACATTTTATTCAGTGATAATGCTGTTTGCATTGTCACAACAATCTCAAAAGCAAAAGCACTTCTGAGTTAGGCAATTTGTGACCTGTTTATTTTGATGACACCATGAACTCTAGAGTTTTTTAACCTGTTTGAAGACTGAACAATACAAATAACCTTTTAATGCTTGTAATGTCAGAGAATAACTTAGTTTTCCTGTTTCTCAGGATTACTGGTGCAGAATAGATACTGTGCAGCACACTGCAGCAATGTGCATACTGAGAAATAAACCACAGGCAGAGTCATATTTATGCAGCAATTTTGCAAATGATTTTCTAAAATAGCCTGCTTACAAATCAGTGCACAACTGGTGATAAAGACAGATCTTTTCTGCTTTTAAGGATTAAAAGGTCTGGTGTAAAGCCTGTCTCCTGGAAGATGAAATCCTTCAGCTGAACGGTTTGCTTTGCAAGCATATTTTTTTCTAGGGGCATTTGTTCGCTGCAAGCTGTTGTAAACAACCACACATTCTTGAGTTAGAGATCACCAACATTCCTAGCAAAGAGCATGGTCGTATCAAACTGCTACATCAAAAATTGTCTTGGAAAAAATATCCCCATCAGCACAGTCCCATGCGGTGTGGGGGGCATTTTAATTCAACCGATATGGGAGAGTCTTGACATCACTGGACTATTCCAAAGTGCTCAAATGCTCTGGGCATCAATATCTATCATTCACTAAGTGTAACACCCAGAGCACCAATCCAGGATTAGACTGTAACTTACCTTGTGTGATATTCAGGGATTGTTGGACACCTATTACATTGGATAAAATGTCTTCCACACGCCACGGACCATGTCAGATGCTTCCATGTGTTGAGTGCTGTTACCATACAGCGTATGCAGAAGCTGACAGGGAGCAATGTTGACCTTCCTTTCTAAAAGGTTCGTTGTCAGGACAGGAGAGCGTGTTTGCTCTCCTCAGATGCCGGCAGAAAGAATAGTAAATGATAAAACGCAAGTTGTTTGGTTGGTTGGTTTTTTAAGATGGGGCCAAAATAAGACATGTTTGCCCCAGAAGCAGAATTATCTAGGAGCTGAACAACAACTTCTGTTACATTTACAGCAGACAAACTGAAGAGCTTTACCTATTTTCACTAAAACAGTAGCATTTAAAGCACTAATTAAACCCTGAACCTTTTCTCATCTAGGGGTTCTGTACAACAACTGTATTTTCAAAGCAGCTTTCTGGATTTGTTAAATGGATAGGAATTGTATTTTTATTTCTCAGTAAGTATCTTGTATATTCTCATTTTTATAGGAATGTTATTTATTAATAACAAAGCACAATTGTTTGTTTTTTTTTACTTAATTGTCCAAATTATTTTAATAATCATTTTGTAATAATGTAAAAAAAAAGTCTTAACTGCATAGATAAAGAAAACCTCTGGTATCCTTGCACCTCTTACCTGTACTCTAAACTAGGCATCAGGGTTCTTTTTTTGGTTTCATTTTGCACATATAATACAGTATCTATATCTCCCATTGTATGCTTGTTTGCTCAAATATTACATCAGTATATTTGATCTGCAATTAGGATCTTTAGTCTTAATTTTATCAGGCTAATAGACAAGCTCTGGCACAACATTCGCAATCATTTTTGATACCTGGTGTCGGTAAAGGAATAAGGTGAAAAAAAAAAAAAAGACTGCTGGAGTCAAAGATTATGAGTTCCTCCTAACTCTCCTTGTGCTTCATGCAAATCCATCACTTTTACACATAGTCACGTGAAGCTGCTTATGTCTCCAAATGTTGAACGTGCTTTGCTCGGACTGAAATCACATCTGCCTGGGCTTTCTGTATTGTGTTTTGCTCCTCAGTTAAATAATAATCCTAAATGACTGCGTACTGTTACTAACTGGCTAGTAAGTATGAACACATTACATATACAAACAGAAGTAGACCAAAATCTGCATTATAAGAGGTAGCTAAAATCACTACTGCTGATGTGACTAATGCTATTAAAGCATTAGCGATAGGTCAGGACTCCTCCAACCAGCAGTTCTAGTCATTCGTCAAAACAGTGTCTTTTCATAAAAAACAATGAGTGTGAAAGTGCCTTTAATAAACTGTGAGAAGAGATGAAAAATACCTTAACACGCTTTCAGAAGGAATGAGTGACACACCACACTGGTGCACGCATTGCAACGAGAGCAGTCACTGGTGCTGCTGTTAAGTTAAACAAAGCCACATTACTTTTAAGCGTTTTACTAATTAAAAATAAATGCATATTAAGAAGCTCTGCAAGTCCCAGGGACATGAGAGAGAGTGTGTGCTGAATTTCTGAGCAGTAACTAACACTGCCAGTCCTTGTGAGACAGGGAAAAGCACAGCTGCTGCTTTGATTTCCCTGGGGTAGCGATGGGCATTAAAGCAGGTGAGATGCATGACCCAGGGAAAATTTTGCCCCAAATTGTTACAATTTAGAGAAATGCTGTCGGGTCAAATACACTCTGCAATGAAGTACTGTTAAAAGCAAAACCCAAACACCTTCCTTCTGAACTGAAAAAAACAGAAAATGTTTTATTCATTTCTTCTCTCTTTCTCTCAAAATCTACGGGGAACTGCTTCCACCCTCTCCTGGCCAGGCCTGGCCCTGGACATGACCCTATCCTCTGGGCCTATGAAACGTGAACCGAAACACAACAGACATCTCCTGAAACAAAGAATAAAACCAAACACTACAGAAACGTAACTTTAAATAGCATGGCATGAAATACAATTTACAGGGGTAATCAAACAAAAGGTTTAAAGTTGGATTTACCTTAGAGTTTCCCTTAAATAACACTATCTTTTAACAATAAAGATAACAGTATTATACCGCATGTAAATCTGAGGTGAGAAAGCTTAACCACTCAAGTAATCAAGAAAGTGTACAGTACATTTACTAATTAACTGTAATAAAATATGTCTTTTTTGAAGGACTGCTGGCAATAAAAGCAGAGGTACTGAAGGAATTTCCATGTAAAACCACATTTATTAATAGACTTACTAATATGCCAGTTCTTTATTGCATTTAGTAGCTCATCATATGTTTACAGGACCAAGATACTTATATTTTGAAGCATATTTCCCTTTAGTAGCCACGTCTGTGTGTATGTGTGTGTACATGCATTTGTCCCAGCCAGGGACAACCTTCTCAACCTTCTCCTCCCAATTCCCTTCTCTCCAAACAGGAATTGCATCTTCAACCTCTTTGTTTTCACATATATAGTTATCATAACAATTCTAAGAAGCCTTTGAAAAACGTCTTCCGTCCTCTCTTGCCATAAAGAGTTTCAAAGCTGGCCAGGCTTTGAAACACATCCTAAATATGGGACATTTCTGATGCTCTGGTAAAGATTTTTGCTGCAGGACTGATGGAGTAGAGAATGACTACTAAAAACTGGACCCTTTAAAACACTGATGGTTGTATTTAACAAGATCAAATTAATTTGCCTCCTCCCCTCCACATATACTGCTCACAGTGCTGTGTGAGCAACTGCAGGATTAAGAGAAATATTACAAGTGAAGTATTGCAATTCCTCCTTCAGATTTTTGTAAGTACTCTCCCTTGACTTTCTTCTATTCAGTTACCCTCAAATTAATATCAGCAGAGTATCAGTGATGATGCACACACCCTGCCCTAGCTTAATTAAATCACATATTCAATTCATCAAGTATTCCAGTGATTCTGATGCACTACAATATATCTATTCTTTAGAAGATAAAGATGAATTGTCGTCTCATGGGACAAGCCAAACACTAGCCAACTAAATTATAAAATGTCTTTATAACTATCCTGGATATTAAATATACCCCAACACAGATATCTTGCTAAAATAAAAAGACTTTTTTCCTCTTAATTTATAAAAAAGAACATATTTTGTCATGCCTAGATCTCTCCTCCAGTTTCATCTTCAAAAGACCCAAGCAAAACAGATCATGAAGGACCTGTAGCAAAGTGTTGGTAACTTTTTTGTCTCCCAACTGAAAATGCACCTCCACGTACTGAGGCCATTCTAGGGATTCTGGGCAACAGGGCAGTAGGACAGCATCATCGGTCATGCAAAGGAGATGCAGCCGTAGTTCCCTCCGTGGAAACACTGGCTGTTGGGTTCTTAAGAAAGTTTTGACCCTTTCCCCTTACTTTTCACAGGCAGAACTGAACAAATCTATTTTTGTTTTGTTTTCCTTCTTAACAGCCACTTTCTCTAGATCTGACAACTCTGAGCACCGTGTCTGATCAGATAATGAATGTTTACATGTGACAGTCAGTGTTTCCAAACTGCTCCATTGTTCCCAGCATCCAGCAGTGAAGCCCCAATGCCCATCAGGACGAGAAAGCAAGAGCAGAGGAAGGAAGGGTTTCCTGTCTGACAAGAGCAGTCCTGTTTAAATCAGAGATGGAGTTAACTACCTATTCAAACATATGCACGCAAAACAGCGAAACAGATTGCCTGGCTCTGCCTTGCATAATATTATCAAACCTCAGTGAACCGTGTTTAAAAAAACAGGGTGAGAAGATACTGTAGTGCCGGTAGCATGGCAGGCAGAGGAATGATCACAAACTGTCCTGTTTTTATTTGTCCCTCCGGAAAAACATTCGCTCTGTTGCTATCCTGCGATTTACCTCCGCCCTGCTGCAATTCTTTGAACGCGCTAAGTTGGTCGAGAGATTTTGGGTGAAATTTTACAGCCTGGCTGTCGTGCAGATTTGGGTTGCTTTGTTGATTAGAGAACAGCATTTATTTTATTAAGAACTGTGTTTACCCTCAGCTTTAGTTTTTGTATTTCCAGTAGGAGTGGGTTTCTTCTTTGAACTCGTGCATCGTGACATCGGTGATGCTTAGGCACTTGACAACATGGTAGATGTGAAGATCTGCTGCAAAATCTGGGGGATCTCTTTGGTATCCATGGCAATAAAAGAGCGACCTGCTGGTAGTGTCCTCTGCAGCCTAAGGAGCAGAATGAGGGACAAGACACAATTACCATTTCAAATTATCTTCCCTACCACAAGCCAGGGTTTCTTATGAATGGATACTTTTCCTTTTGAATACCTTCCCAATCCATGCTGTTCATGTCGTTGTCACCATGCAATTAAAGGCTTGGGAAAGGAGCAGTGGGAGAAAATACTAAGAGCAGCTAAGTCACAGAGGTCCTTTCAGCAAGACAATCAAGAGTGTTTCTAGAGATTTCTATTCACGTCCTCTTTCTGACATGTGAAAACTACGTTTTGATCAAGGTACCAGTGACCCCATGAGGTATTGCCACAACTGGTTTTCTGAGGGCAGCTAGAGATTCACTGTGGAAATGAAGATATTTACTTACTGTAAATAGATTACCATGAACCCACAGCTCTTTCAGTTCAACACCTCCAGTGATTCTAAATGTGCTCTTTGTATTTCCTCTTTGAGATCACAGCAGATTAAATAGAAAGGTATTTTTTTGCCAGTATTAGCCTGACACATTTTTATTCACAGCTTACTCCCCCTTAAAAAACTAAACAAGATGCATGTTGCAAACCCCATCTCCCTCCAGTCAGCAGGCTTGGAATTTATTTTTTCACTGCTTTTTAAAGGAGTTTATGCTCCACACCATTTCTCCAATGCTAAGTTAAGTCTCACTTTTAAAGTGAGTTTTAAAAAAAGCTGCAACAAAGAATTCCCTTCTCCTTCCCCCCACAGCAGTTACAGGAAGGCTTTGTCTAATTCTGCACTTCCCTGTACATAGAAACGCATTTCAGTGACAGCATTGTGTGCATTTTCCATACCCAGTGAGCTAGGCAATTATAAGATCTCCTCTTACACAGCAGGATATGGTCAACGCTTTTTTTTTTTTTCTCCCCCCATTCCTAGCAGAAGTAAAACGTCTTTCTGTAATTATAATCTTTCAGAATGGATTCTCTTTTCATGCATAATGCAGCTCTGATGTACAGACCTGCAGACACGACTAATGGTGGCTGTGCAGCTGTATCTTTTCACCCTTTTCTGACAAAAATTACGTACTGAGGGCCAATTCCCTTTGGGTCTTCTCTCATTCTACCATAAGCTGAAGACTCGAACAGAAGCAGAAAAGGCACTGTTGATATTCGTGGCTATATCAGCGTTGCATTGCAGGTACTGGACCTCAGTGGATGTGGAATCAAGGGACACCTGGGACACAATTTCCTTCTTTTCCTCTGTGCCCAAACAATTTAAAGTGAAATTATGTAGCAGGACTAAAAATAGGCATATTGGCTCAGACTCTCCAAAGAATTTATGTCTCTAATACAAGGGAAATAACTGAGTCAAATTTTTGGCAGTTTTGAAGACCATTAAACTCCATCTTCTCATGCTTTAATCTCTTTTCTTAGGCCCTCACACATTCAAACCACATACAGGGCAATGGCAAAGGCACCATGTCTCCATCATGATTACATAGTGCTATTACATACGCGGATAATGCACATCCTCCAGTGGGAGGACAGCTTCAGGTGCTCCCTTTGGATGTACAGAATTCTCTGAACTAGCTGGTTGTAAGGGATGTCTGCAAGGACTCATAAACCAGTCTCCTCCCTGACACAAGACAGAAGCTACTGCTTCTCACTAGTAGGAAAAAGAAAAAAAA